TCACTTGGTAGCCCAGGCTGGCCTCGAACTCACAGAGATCCGCCTGGCTCTGCCTCCCGAGTGCTGGGATTAAAGGCGTGCGCCACCACCGCCCGGCCCAAGCTGACTTCTTAACTCCAATTTTTACATTTGTAAAATGGGGCTAAAATCCTCCAAGTTATTTTAAAAATGAAACAAGGCTTAAAATGTCTATATTAGTTGTCCTTCCATGGCTGTGATAAAACACAGGGACCAAGGTAACTTATAAAAAAACAAGAACAGCTTAGCGCTCACATCCCAAACTGAAAGCAGAACCCAGAGACTGAGTGGCTCCTGAGACCTGAAAGCCCGCCCCCAACCCCACCCCCACCCCGACACACTTCCTCAGCAATGCCACACACGCCTCCTCAGATTTCACAAACTTCCCACCACCTGGGGACCAAGTGTTCAAAAGCTCAAGACTTACAGGGGATTTCCTATTCCAACTTGCCCATTCCACTTCCTGCCCCCCATAGACTCATGGCCATATCATAACATAAAATGCATTTAGTCCAACTTCAAAGTCCCCAGTCTTTTGGTCTCAACATTGTTTAAAAGTCCGAATTTCAAGCCGGGCATGGTGGCACATGCTTCCAACAACAGCACTTGGGAGGCAGGGGCAGGCAGATCTCTGTGAGTTCGAGGCCAGCCTGGTCTACAGAGCGAGTTCCAGGACAGCCAGGGCTTATGTAGAGAGGCACCATCTCAAAACAAAACAATAACAATGAAGTCCAAAGTTCAAATCTCTTCCAATCAAGGCAACCTCTTAACTGTAACATCAAAAGCAAATCACACACTTCCAACATACAATGGCACAGAATACATCACCATTCCAAAAGGGAGGAGTTAGGGAACGGAGAGGGAGCACTGGACCAAACAAGACCCCAATCCGGCAGGATAGACTCAAACTTCTGTAGCTCTATGTTCAGCCTTACATGGCTCTGTCTTCTAGCTCTGCTGCCCACAACACACGTGTCTCTCTCGGGCTAGCTCTACCCTGTGTGAGCTCGGCTCCGGCATTGCTAACATCTTGGGGTCTCCAGTTCGAGTCCGGCTGTGTTTTCATGGCTTTACACAATGGCCTCTCAGGGCCTTCGCAGGGACCACCCTGCTACCACACTGCCTGGCCTTGGTGGCTCTCCTTAACCACAGACCCTTTACTCCTGCATACCCTGCAGGATTCTAAAGCCAGGACCACATGGATGACACTGTCAAGTTCAGCCGCCCGCCGGGGATAGAACCCCGACCCTGATTTACATCCGCCTCCCCTTTGTTGCTATTCAGGAACAGAATTTCTTTGGCTCTTTCCTTTCACAAATGAGAAGCACCTTCCCTTTGCTCCACTGCACATCGGGCCTCTACCTATCTCGTTTCTTTCAGCACCAGCCCTGGTCTTTTCCCCAAGTGTATTTCTGCATTTCTTTCTGCCCATTTGATCGTTTTTAATTGTAGACCTCCGTAAGAGTGATTACGAGTGACCAAGTGACAGAGTCAGTATTAGGCTTTCTTGAAATCTCTTTTGCCAAAGAAATTAGTCCACTGCCTTTTTAACTCTAGCCTCAGGCAAGTTCTTCAGACAATGGCATAAAGCAGCTACATTCTTTGCCAAAATATCCCAGGAATCGTCTCCAGCTGTCTTAATTTGGCTTTCTATTTCTGTGAAGAGACACCATGACCATGGCAACTGTTATAAAGGAAAACATTTCATTGAGGCTGGCTTACAGTTTAGAAGTGTAGTCCATTATCATCATGGCGGGAAACATGGCAGCCTGCAGGCAGACGTGGTGCTGGAGAAGGAGCTGAGCGTTCTGCATCTGGATGCACAGGGAGCAGGAGACTGCCATACTAGGCTCAGCTTAAGCATATGGAACTCCATAGCCCACCCCCACAGTGACACACTTCCTCCAACAAGGCCACACCCCCGAGCAGTGCCTCTTC